CTGTACGAATTTCAATATCATATCGATATTTTCGGTCAAAAGTCAACTATTGGTATAGGGTCCACATGTTCGGTACCTAGGGGCTTGAACAGTTTTGGTTGGATTTGAACAATTATTGGTCAAAGGTGCCTTACTTTAAGGGAATTTTCACAGAGTAGCATATGAATATGAAAGGAATCTTACGTTCTAAATTTTGTCGAAATCGGTCAATCCGGTCTCGAGATATGGCATTTCACCAGAAAGTAGGCGGTGCCACGCCCATTGTCCAATTTTCACACCGGCTTCAATAGAGCTCCTGTATACCATCTATATACAACCCGTATACAATAATTTAGCAAGATTTCAGTATTTAATTAAAAAAAAAAATACATAAGACAATACTCATTTTATGCAAGTGACCAACCTAATTCAACGCGCTTTTCTTAAAGGGGGGAAAAGACGGGGAAAATGTTTAAGCACATATGTTAAGTAGAAACCCTGTAGTTTACTAAGAAATATAATTCAAAGCTCGACCTCACCCGACACTATAAGAAAAACACTAATTTCTACAAAATTAAAAAAAAAATTTTGGTTTTTTAATGATTTATTGTTTTCCCGAAAAAAAGGAGAGTTTCGCGAATAAGTACGTGCATTCTGAACGAAATCGAGGTTCCGATTATTTGTGTGGCAATATAGCGGGCTGAAGGTCATTCATTTAATCGGTTCATTATAGAACGGTTACTTAGGTACTAAAAAAATCAATCGCCAACATCAAGCATCGCTGAAGTTTGTAATTTTCATTTTCGTCCGGGTTTTAAAGGAAAARGCTCCTATGTACGTCGATGCGTCTACCTCTGCTACCTTGATATACATATTCACATATCTTTTACAGACCAAGTTCCTTGATGAAATCGGGAACACAGTTTTGTAAATGGGGTATTGCCACACCAAAAAACGGTGAACGAGAACGTATAAGCTAACTAACTAAGCGCCAAATTAAGATATAAAGCTATTAAGAAAGTTGGCATCTCACCTTTAACAAGTAATGTATATATATCTCACAAAGTTCTAAAGCTTTGAATATCGACCACTCCCCATGTAATGGTTATTTTTAAAACTAAACAGGATCCCGTGACAAAATTGGACAATGGGCGCAGAAAGGAAACTWGTATGCTCTCTCGCAACAAGTTATGGTCATACAATGGTAATGAGGTGTCAGAATATCTTATATCAACTCACTCTGATGACTTTCTTGTTGCTTTTACATGTAAGTATTTTAACAGGAGAGCAGCGCGTTTTCGATAGGAAGGAGGAAATCGTCTAAAATATTTGATGCTACAAAGTAAAAATCCAATATTGGAAATATAATTTAAAAAAACTAAAATACATGCTTTTAAAGCACTTCAAACTAAAAATGAAAAAAAAAAAAATTATTAATAAACATTCAGTAATATTGACCGAAGAATGTTTGCTTTATTGTGAGCAAAGTTTGATCTACTCGACATACGAAAAATATGATGCAAAGCATGGAAAGTTGAAGATTGGTCCTTGTTCCGCGTTTTGTGGACGTAGCAGTAAACCGATTACGGYCATCTGCAATACCGACCTCTTGGATTTTTTTTGTGTCGGAGGGGGAATCTTCCAAAAGATACTGCCTTAGCCAGGCAGCTTGCACGATTCATATTGCCCGCTAAAGATACACCTCTTTCGAGATCACGCCCAATTAGTCTTATCTAACTTTACTGTACGCCTGCGTACGTCACTTCATGTGAGACCTGAATGCACAGGCCACTCTGATGGCGCATAGGTTGTCATTGCCTTTGTCTTATTGGCATTTGTGTTTTGGCGTAGTGCTTTTCTCCATATAGGGACCGCATAGATCAGTGTTGACTGACTTCCTTTAGCTAGTAGGGCTCTCCTACTTTGACTAGGGCCACCAGTGTTAGCCATATTCTTGACAGGGCCGCTGTAGCAGTAGCTGCCTTGCTACTGGCTTTTTCAACATGCGCTTTGAAATTCAATATCATATCAATCATAACGCCAAGGGAGTTTTGCGTTGTAATGTTGTATCCATCGATATTTATCCGGCCAGCAGCAGCATAGTTTCCGTGAGTCAGTCCTTAATTGTTGCTGTGGTCGCATGGCAGAAGTTTTGAATTTGGGAGAGMTCTTTCGCAACTATCGTCACAGCACACACAACCACGTAGCTTTTTGAGCCGGCATTGGTGTCGTACAATCTATCAGACTGATAGCTACTGATTATCCTTAGTAGATATCACGGAGTGTTTCTTGCCTCTAAACATGGCGAACKTAATATCTATAATCGATCCGCGGCCATTCTTCTCGAGGGTATTTCCTCCTCCCGTATTAAACATCACAGCATCTAGTAAGGCGAACGTTTTGAGCAGAGCATTACCCCTTTTTCATCCCTTTTCCTTCCCGTCGCCTTCATTCATTTTGCTAGCAGTGGGCTTTTTTTGCATTTGTTCTTGAATTGCTTATTTCTTTGGTGGAGTCTTGCGCGCTAGTTGCTCATCCTCGCGTCGCCTATTTGGTGCTGCACCTACTCCTGCGTGTTTTAAAAGCACATTTCGTTTGTTTGCTTTGATATTGTGGTCGTACTCTATCTGATGGTTGATCGAGCGTTGAAGCATTTTCATTGCTTCAGATAGCCTCTTGAAGTTATCTCCCAGCTGAGACATAATGTCCCCTTTTGGTTGGGTAAGTGATTCTCGAGGCGTGCTCTCTTGCAGCGCTGGTGGTGCCGATCTCGCTTCCAGGCCTTTCCACGGTGAGATACTGTTCCGGTGATCGCACTAACCTCGTTGCGCGTCTAAAGGGATCAGCTTCGACGCAAGGACCACTAAAGATCGGCGTTCTCCTGGACGGTTCCTATTCTGCGATCCTACTGCTAGAGCTTTGAGTTCCATTGCTCGACAAGCAGTCATGTACACTGCTACTATTGCTTTTGGTATMTTTTCTTAAATAATTCTCCATTTCTTCTAGGGCATCGTGTGTAGAGGGGCGGGCCGAAATAGACAGGAAGAGGTGTACCCCCGGAGACAATACTTATATCCCAGTTTCCTGAGGCCTTTCCTTCGCTTTACCAGTCCCGGAAAGCAAGGACGGTACGGCGCTCACCCGGGGCAACGCAGGCTACTACTCCTGCTCCCAATGCACACTCCCTGACCAGAGACCGAAGTGGCTGTTTACTGATACATCACGCTGCTAACACCCCGACAGAGCAAGCTCAYATCACCCTTTACATCCCACCAGCGCAGACATGGCTGTCAAGATATTCAGGGACTCCCAGTGCGCCGCGCTGTGTACCGGTCAAGTTGTAATATCAGCCGCTGACCAAGAAGCCGCCCATTATGGGTCCGCCGCTCCTGGATTTTGTTTTTGTTTCCATTCATCATATCCAAACATGATGAGGGGACACATATTTTTATGTGACGGTGCCGATTCGCCACAGTCACAGGAGCTTCATCGAATGTGCTAGCTTTTGTGTCGCACTCCTACCGCTCCTTGTCGGGGATTTCTTAATGATTTTAACTTATTTCGCAACTAACCTGCCACTACAGGGCGTTCGGCTATTCGCGACCTGTCGACCCCCGGTAGCTTAGAGCCTAGATAGAGCCCCCCAAGTTTAGGTGCATGCACTGTACGCACTGGAGGATGCGTCTAGAGTGTCAACCGGATGAATAGTACAGACCAACCAAGCGGTCGATTAAAGCCATATCGCGGTGGTACAGCTTACACCTCCAGCCAAGTAATTGGAACAGATTACTCTATTGGCCGCCGGACGGAGCAGTATTCATCACAATTTTGCACACTCCCGGTCGGGAAACCGGAGTGGAGACACTGACCTCTTGGGTGTCAAGGAATAAATGTAACAATATGTCTCAATTTTTGCTCAAGTTATTATGAGTGTTGCAATCTGGAAACTCACAATTGTATCGAAMATTTTGACATTTTTGAAACTTGAAATGTTTTGACTAAGAAACGGTATTGTTATTGTTTAAAGTAACTTAAAATATTCTTCTCCGCCAAAAAAAAAAAGTGCCAAAATTTTTTTCCGATYACATTTTACAATTTTCGACGTGGATTAACTCATAAAGAGTGCATAGATGAAACTAATTCAATTTTTGGCGAAGAAGCTCCACCAGTGTTTATCGATGGTATAGTGAATTCAATCAATCGAAGGTCGACCAAAATCAGTTTTTATTGTGGAACATGCATCATGCCTATTGTGAGATTAAGACTACTATCAATCGAAAAAGAAAATTTTTAATTTAAATTTTGGATGGAATGATCCACACACATACATACTATATAGTATTTTAAAAATCTGTACCAATGTGCACCGGGACAATTGAAAGTTTGAAACATTATGTGGGCACCATTCAAACTATTAGCAAGTTCGCTATTTTAAATCTCTTTAATTTAATTACCCGACTTTATTTTCTTAAATCTCTATAGCTCTATATCAAGTTTGTATTATTCTGAATCTTCGCAGTTTTCACTCATAACCTTGAATACAAAGAGCGATTAGTATTGAGAATAGTATATCCTGATCTCTTGTTAATCGTAATTGAAATGTTTTCAGGTGGCAAAAGTGTGTAAACTCTATAATCCATGGTAAAATATATAATTATACTAACGAAAATCAACTTGCCTCATTTTCCTGGTCATTTTGATATACCTTACACACGTATCTAATAGTTTCAGGTGTAATAAACAACCGTGGAAAAAAACAAAGGTCAGACTTTTGCTGTTAAAGAAATGGCAATGTTTCAAATAGTTTTCGTTCAACTGCTTACAAAATGCATTTATTTCAACTCTTAAATTCATTGCTTTTACTATAAATATGCATGTGTGTATGTATATATATTTAGGATGTATAGTATACCTTCCTATTTTAAAATAATAAACAATTCTTATGGGTAAAATTCACACATTAACCTATGGGTAAAAGAAAGGAATGACGGTATGTATCAACAGTAATGTATCGCACTCACCATAAACATTCAATCTCGCCGAGTGCTCCACACTTCCCATCGAATTGGTGGCGATGCACTTATAAAGTCCGCCATCGTCTGGACGCACATGCGAAATATTCAAGTGACTGATCACATCGCCAGACATATCGACGAACTGACCGATGGCGAAGCGATGATGCAGCGAAACATCCATTATCGGCTGGGAGTCCAACAGCCAGGCAAACTGCAGAACAATAACAAAAACGACTATAAAAATCACTTAGCCAAACAACTACATAAGATTTTGCACCGTAGTCTACATACAGGGTTTGTCCAAAAAGTAATAGGCCTGATTTTTTTCCGGCACGACTGTACTTCGTAGCGTGCGCGCATCGACTGGATTCGGTAAAGGGCGTTCTTAGCTAACGAAAGAGTGGCTGGTCAAACATTTCGGGCGACGTGTTTCTGTGAGGTGCGCGGTTAACTTCTGTGTTAAACTCGGTAAATCTGTGACAGAGACATTTGATATGAAYAAGCAGGCTTAACCAAGTGTTGCTTTACAAAAAGTAGTATGTTTCGGGGGCACCAGACCTTTTTGGATGGCCGGGAAGAGGTCGCTAATGAATGAGCAAATCTAAAGTAAAAACGATGCTAATTGTCTTCTTTGACAACAAATACATCGTCCACCATGAATGTGTTCCTCCTGGACAAACCGTTAACACCAACTTTTACGTGTAAGTCCTCAAGAGACTGAAACGAAGGGTCAATCGGGTCCGACAAGACATCGCAGACGGTTGGAAGCTGCTACAGCTACCTAACCAAGGCCGGCATCCCGCTTCCTCAACCACTCCACAGCCCAGATGTGGTCTCCCAAGACTTTCTTGTTTCCTTGCCTGAAAAGGCTGATGAAAGGCAAGTATTCTAAGGTGACAGAGGKGATCCAAGCAGCATGCACTTCGGCTATCAAGGCTATTCCGGAGAATGCTTGAAAATCGCGCTGGATCGTCGCAGAAGGAGTCTATTTTTAAAGTTTTTAAGGAATTGTAACGATTGGTTATTTTTTAAATTGTCTCAGTCCTATTACTTTCCGGACAAACCCTGTAGRTAGATAGGTACATATATGTATGTACTATTTCTGTGGGCCTGACTACGTGTTATCGCATTTAAATTGCATCAGCAACATGCCGCTCAAACTTGCAACATTTATAGGAGAAATATGAAGCTTGAGCGTAGTGAACGATATACTTACTTGTGGTGGCGGCGAACCGCTAGCCGAGCACTTAAGCGATATTAATGGCCCCGGCTGCACATTTTGCTCAATAAAGGTGTAAATCAGTTCAGGCACGGTATCTACAAAAAAAAAAAACAAAAAGCCAAAAAATAAAAGGGAAATTTCACTTTAAATATTTGGACCTTATGAATTATTAATTTGYTAAGCGAGATGTTATCACACATTTGTACTTACCACCCAACTTCAATTCGGCCATAGCCTGGGCGCTGGCTCTGCTATTCTCCACCAAGCACTGATAGACACCTCGATCTCTACGACCCACGTTATGTACCATTAGCGAGGTCTTCGTAAGAAACCGTATGCTGTAGATGACAAACAAAAATGTGGATATTAGCCGAAGTATTCATACACAAAATTATAACTGTACATAAGTATTTACATACTAGATTTGCACAATATATGACACACCCCTAATTACGAAACCCTAAACTCGTGAGTATACTTACATAAGTATATWCATACATATAATATGTGGCAAATAGAAAATGGCATAGAAAATGATGTTAACTGCATATGTATGAGTGAGGGATAATGGAAGCGTTGCATGTGCTTGGATTTACATAACTGCACATAAATTGGTTCACACGTTTACACATACATACATATGTATACCCGTTCGTTCAGTTTGTATGGAAGCTATATATAATAGTCTATACCAAATTTCGTGAATATATCTTGCCAAATGCAAAAGTTTTCCATACCATACATATTAGATCGTTCAGATTGTATAGCAGCTATATGCTATAGTAAGCCGATGTGAACAATTTCGTTTTTATATTACATTRTTATCTTGGAAAATAAMCTGTGCCATCTCCTCTGAAGATACACTGTCAAATGTGAAAGTTTTCCGTACAAGAATTTGATTCCGATCGTTCAGTTTGTATGGCAGCTATATGTTATAGTGGTTCGATATCGGCAGTTCCGACAAATGGAGAGTAAATGACATTTGCAAAATTTAAAAACGATATCTTAAAAACTGAGGCACTAATTCGTATATATACAGACGGGCAAATGGAGAGACAGACCGACAGACAGATGGACATGACTAAATCGACTCAGCTCAACATACTGATCATTTAAATATATACTTTATATGTCTCCGATGCTTCCTCCTGGGTGTTACAAACTTCATGGCAAACTTAAAATACCCTGCTCATTTATTTGTTTTTCGCGRAAGTTAGTATAGATAGATTAGTAAGATATGGAATGTGTAAGTATCTTGTTGAGCGAGCAATCGAATCATCAGGGCATGGACTTGGCATTTTCGATTAGATTAAAGTCCGGACCTATTGGTGGTCCATTCAATAAGGGAAGATTTTTCGACGCCAGATATGACATTGTTTATCTTAAAACATTTATTAGAGCATTCTGCTGAAGTARTTAAGGACATAAACCAATAAAAGTTAGCTGACTGCTGAATGCTGAATGATCGGCATAATTGTGTCCTCCTTTTACACTTGTACATGTAGACTAGTATTTTCACTCTAACATAGTCAACATAAATGTAAATTTATGATATGTTACGTCCCGGTATACCTGAAAAATATTTTCCGATATTGTAATGCCAAAACGTATATTTCTCATAAAGGGGAAATTAGAAAAATTATGCTTAAACGTTTTGGTATACATATTTAAATTGCAGCTTCTTCCTGCAAATCTGTTGAACCGATTTGGCCCCATCTCATTGGTTTTGACGTCAGCAATGCCCGAATATGCCCCTTAGTGTTCGCATTCACTTTTGGAACTGCCCCTTTGCGGTAATTAATGTGTATTTTTCGGCTTTTCAATTAAGGCTGCATGGAATTTTCATAGCTCCTTTCTTACATAACATCTATTAAAATTCTATAAACCCTTACTTAAAAAGCCGAATATTAGAGAAGTATTAATGATAGCGATTTTGACATCGGACTTTTTTGTAGCAAATAAAATTTCCTACAAGTTTGACATGTACATTTTTTCTATAGCTCTTGTCATTGTATATATGTATATACAACAAAATACGAATTTCGAGGAAAAATCAAGTTTAGAGCCCCGTACTACCTCGCCGATGTGAGTTTCRACTTTGTCGCAATGGGCACTTTTGTAGATTGATCAATTCTGAGGAATATGTGTCTACCGTCAAAGCGATACCATAAAATGCTTCTGAGCTTTAGAATTTAAAGATGAAYAATCACGATTGTCGTGTATTTTCAATAGAAAATTTTTACAYGCCTTGGTCCAGTCCTTAATGTTAGTATTAAGGGCTAAAATTCWCAGGAAATTTCATGATGGGACTGATAAAAATCAATAGTTCAAAAATACAAAACACCGTAATATATGGTAAWATATGTATATACTCAAATATTAATACGGTTAAAAGAATAACTGGTTTAAGCAAAACCAGTTTTACGGAAGTCGAACATTTTCCAAACCTCAAATATGTGAATCTAAACTGTTAGGTCTTGTATTCAAATTCGAAGAGAAAAAATTTGTGATAACATCAGGTCCTGTCACAAAAATTGGTAAAATCGAATAAATTATTCCACACGTTTTTTTTTTKTTTTTTTGGTTAAGTGACAACCATTATGTAAATAAAGCGCAGGTCTTTCCTTTACTCTAATTTTCAGATAAAACTCAATAGAGAGACAATATTTCAACGTATCGTTATTTTTCGTGATATCAAATAGCACTATCYTTCTAGGACTAAATCGTGTAAACCAGGTAGAACTTGAGTATGACTCATCACCATTAACTCTTTTTATTAATTCGTACTTTCCTTTAAGTTACCAAACATTTTTTTTTTTTGCTCTTTGTTTCTATTTTGTTCAGAAACATTTGCTACCTTTTTTTTTTATTGAAATATAGTACTACTGAAACATAAGTACTCTCTGAAAGACACCAGAAATTAGTTTAAATTTATTAAGCATTTGTACATTGCACCCCTTGCTTTAAAAGAAACTCTTGTGCTTTCCCCCAACCTCATTCTACTCAAAGCCGCCAAACCAATAGTTTGGAAATTATTATTTATTTGATTAGCATAATCACAAAGAGGTGCCGAGTTTCCATATCCGCATGTATATTTATATTTTCCATGCTTTATTTGCCAACTTGGCAAAATGCCGATATCTGTTGAGCTTGTAAATAAATGGAAGCTTTTTCATTTGTATACATACGTAACTAAAAGCGAACATTGGCAATAGGTCACTACGAATAACAATATTCAAGATAATACATTGAATTCAAAAAGTCTACATTATTTCCTTTACAGGGGTTAAGTGGTTTTCCTTCTGAATMCAATATGTTTATGTTAAAATGAATTTGTGAATAATAGCAGTGCCTTGAAGAGTACCTGCATTGGTCAGTCGAAATATGGCGCAATACATCGTAGACCGATGAAACAAAAAAATTTTGGATTAAAGAAAGCATGGATTACAAATTTTACGTTGAAATAATGGAGTTGACTATGCTACCACATGCTGAATGGAAAATGCCGTTGAAATTGCCGTTAATCTATCAACAAGATAAACATACCAGCAGGTAAGCTTGGTTTGCTCTTAATGGAGTTGAAGGTTATGGGTTGGCCGGCTCAGTCTCCGGACCTTAATCCAATTCATAATCTTTGGGCAGATTTCAAAGAAGCAGTAGGGAAAGATAATTCGTCAAATACGAAGCAATTATGGAGTGCTGTGAAGAAGGCTGGAAAGTCATTCCACTCGAGAAATGCAAGCGTTTGGTGAACTCCACGCCTAAGAGATGAGCAGCTGTGTTTTCCAACGACGGTCATTGGACGAAATACTAATTGTTTAAACTTAATTTTATATTATTATTAAGAATTAATTGATTTTTGACATTAAATCCTCAATACTCCTATTATTAAAGACAGCTGAATTTTTCATTTACAAACATTTATATTAATTTAAAGAAGTACTTTATCTTATTCATTAAAGAAATCATATTTCTTTTAAGCTTGAATATGAGCGAATTAAATACAAGTCTCTTATACACATCTAGATGTGTATAAGAGACAGGGTCAATATTAATTTAAAGAAGTACTTTATCTTATTCATTAAAGAAATCATATTTCTTTTAAGCTTGAATATGAGCGAATTAAATACAATCAGATCCTTTCCTTGTAGATCCTTTCAATTACGATACGCATATTCCAGCTTTTAGCTTTGCAATTTTATTTAATTTCATTCCGTTTGATTGGCTTGTGGAATTGTAGCACTTCTGTCTCACAGCCATGCAAATCAAGTTCACGACCGCAAACAAACCAACCGAAAAATTACTGAATATTCTAGTTTTAATGCACGCAAACATGTTGCTTATGGGTATTCAAGTTTTCTTTGTCCAACATGTATTTGCTGCATCTCCGATAATCGGTCATAGGGATATAACGTTGAATATGTAAAATTTTTTTTTTTTGTTTATTTTCTTTTTCGATAGCTTATATTTCCATAAATATCCTGTGAAATCAGGACAATCGCATCTCGAATAGTTTTTGGATGGCAGCGTTATAAAGAGCTACCGCTCAGAGGTGCAAACAAACATAAGTGAAACTTTAAACGCGTTTTTCTCGAAACAACATTTTACAAAATTGCTGGCGTCATAACTCAACGAGAAATTGACCAATCGACTTGAAATTAAAACTGAGTTTATTTATTTATACATTTACTATACAATGACCTATGATCTTTTTGATTGGTTGAAAATTGAGAATTTGGCACTAAAAAACGACAACTTTTTACCTAATAAACAATTTTTTTTCACAATTACGCCATTTTGTTAATTTTTGATATTTTTCAAAGATCGTACGTCATTGTATAGGAAATATTTTTAATTTTTTTATTTCACTACACTACGCTACTCATTCGACCGGAATCATGCCACCAGTTGGGCACTTTTTTTTTTTTTTGCACCTCCAAAGACAGTATTAACCGTCCTTTATAAATATTTATACTAACACCGAACCCAGTTCCCACCGTGAAAATAAGAGTCTACGTTTTTAAGCGGCCGTCTACATACATACGGCCTAAAAATTATTTCTGGAAATACTATAAACTGCTTGCATTTATTAATTGGCAACTTATTTACTCTTCCCTGTTTATTTTTTATTCATTWATTCACATTGTGTCTATTAAGGAACAATGCTATTTTTCGATATACCGAAATCTCGACGAATAAAGCAAAAAGCTGCAATCCATGGAAACAGATCTACAAATTCATACATATTCACGTGTTATTGTGTAGCTAGTGTAGATTGTTACACACAAACCACTCGATAACTGTAGCAAACTTTCGAGTTGAGTTTTGAGGAAATGCAAAACTCCAATTTACCAATCAACGAAATAGTTCTAAACAGAGTCAGAAATATCAACAAAATTGGTGTGAAAATGATTGAAGTGGTGAAAAACATGTAAAAACCCTAAACTAGTTCTAGTAGTTATAAGCATACATATTGGGTGGTCGAAAAAGTCTTCTCGTATTTCTAATCAAACTTCAACTTATTTTTTTTATATTTATAATAATAAATGTACCATTTTGGTCGACCATCTTTCGCCATTTTTCAGCTAGAGACATTATTCCGTCAGTGTAAAACTTTAGATACAGCATCATCTCCGTAAATTTCACATTTTCATTGGTGGCTTAAATGGCATATACAAAAAATTTAAAATATAACGAATTTCATCAAAATTTTCACTCWTTTTTGAACAGCTGTAACTTTGTTTTGACTTCCCCGAAATCTCACCTTTGAAGCACTATATGGAAATATACGACTGCAACGATATCTAGTGTCTAAATACGATAAGACTTTTCCATCTACCCAATACATAGTTACATATTTACATATTTAGATTTAAGATTTCAGTTGGTTTGCTAATTGGATATTAGTCTTAACACCAATTAATAAGCTGTATTTGACTGAAGCAACTACCTACATCGACTTGAATTTAAGCCGACGAACTACCAATTCGTAGGCATGCAGCCGGTGCTCTCAGATATGAAAACAGGAACAAATGTGCTTCCATTTATCTAAGCTTTAATACGTATTTAAAACATTCACTTACTTCTCTCTGCCGTTGCTAAGCGCATTGTTGCCCTGTAGAGCTATTCCATTGTGCAACCACTCGACGCCATCGATCGCTGAACCCGTGGTCGAACAGTTGAAAATTGCCATTCCGCCCGAATTGACAATTTGCACTTGCGGCAGAATATGCACCGACACATATGAGTTAACCATCAGACGGATTTCGATGCGCTGCTCGCCGAATTGATTCGCCGCCTGRCACACCTGGGCACAAAAAAGACGCAAAAAATTAAAGTAAAGAGAGTTGTAGTACCCATATATGGAAAACATAAAAAATTTTGTAAAATAAGCTCTAGCGTTGAATGACAGCATGCCACTTTAAATTGACATTTCCGTGGCAAATTACACATTTTTCCACAAGTTGGCGTTAATGAGATTCCTAACTCGATTYCCATTGCAAAGTGTTGGTGCGGCGATTGAGACTCACTGTAAGGTATGTACAGGTGTGAAAGACTCTCGACTGCCACATCAATTGACTTGTTTTCAAAAGTTCTCGCTTTTATGCACCCATAATTCATTTTCTTTAGCCCCATTTCTTAAGTTGAAGGCGCTTTGCAGCGCTCACTTACCCATTTGCCGGCATCCCGTTCGTCAGCATTTTTGATAAGCAACAGCGTGCGTGACAGTATCACACGCTGCGAAGATGGAATTGGGTACAATGCTGATGAATCCGAAACACGATACCATCTGCAAGTAGAAAATCACAAAAGTACCAGACGTTAGTAAAGTGCCAAAGAAGTAAGTAAAAGAACGAAATAAGAGTAAAAAATGACCTTCGAATGATTGCTTCAAAATATAATTTTACCGGTTGTACTTGCGTACGTGTGTGTTGAAAAGTAGAAAACTGCAGAAAGTATCTTGGCAAATATCCATATTATCCTGAGCGTGCGTGCAACACCTGTGCGCGCCCCTGCATACGTATATAAACTACTAGGTGTACTTGTATGTGCTGTAGTGTCTGCACGACTGCAACCATGACAATGAATTATTTGCCTCATTGTCACAACAGTTGCTCCTCAGACGGATACGTACAAAAATACCCACATGCACACGTTATCTGTTTTCACTGCCGCTTGCAGTCTATCTCCCGTGAGCAATTCGTTTAGCCGAGTTAATATGCATTTATCTGTATGTTTCCTCTTCTTCTTTATACTCTCGCTTCATGTTGCAACAAAGAATAATAGTTTTGTTCACCTAACCGWTGTTTGTACCACATAAAACAAATATTTTGATGCAACGTGGTAAAGATATATATCAGCAGTTGAGCTATTTGGTAGGCCTATAAAACSCCATAAAACCTATGAAGTGCCATTACTAAACTTCGCAATGTGATACAAAAATGTAAAAAGATGCAACGTATCGCATTCAAGAGCGCCATCTGCGGTTAAAAAAGTGGAGACCCCTGCCTCCTAGTAGGTTAATGTGCATATCTCCCAAAATATAAATTTATTTGAAAATATGGGAAGTAATAAACGAGTACGTGATAAAATGTTCGGTCACACTCGAACTTGGCTTTTCCTTACTTATTTTATTTTGTTGTGGCCTTACCTTACTCAGTTTGTGTGTGAAAGAGTGGTTTATATCATTGCAATATACATATATATCCGAATGTAAACTATTGCACAGCATTAGTAAATTAAATGTTAAATGTTTTCGACATTCCTTAAATAATATMGAAAATTGTATATTGGCCTCGTGCTGTATAAGCGAGTTCAGCATTTTCTTTTGAAGAATATACATCTAAGGTATATCTAAGGGCCTAAGTGCTGTATACTAACCGTTATCTGAAAAAACCCTTAACGATCCTTGAGAAAAAGGGCCTCCTCGTTATCATGTTCTTCCCAATTTTCGTTTCTATAGAATTGATTATTGTCTTAAAAGCTATTTAGATTTAGTTTACAAATTATTTTAATCTTCAAAATAAGCCGTTTTTCTAACCGATCAGGCTCCCTACTTATAGGTTTAATGCCTCCTTTGCATATATMCAAATTTTAATTCCTCAAAGCACTCCTGCAATTAACGAAATCGGACCATAATTTTCCAGTCCCTAGATACCGAAGATGTATTTGTTTATTTATTTATTAGTATAAATATAAATAAAAATATGTTAAAAGTTGATTGGAAATGTGATAAAAACGTGTCCTTGTATCAAAAATAGATAAAATCAAAGGCCAATACTTCCCTTCTGATATACAAACCTTCGCACTTCTGGTTGACTTTATACCGTATATATCGATTAAAATGTAAAGTATCTTAATGAAACTCAGATAGTATTTTTCAGTCAATAGCACACCGTATTGCCAAAAATGGATAAAGTCGTGTAAAGATTGCCTTTAAACCCAGAACAACTACTTAATAGCAATCTTCGAGTCGTCGTTTCTTTGTTCGCTTCTTTTCTCTTGCCAATACAAGCAAAATCAACAACAAATTTACCGAGTTCAACTCGTAAAAGAGAGTATGCGAATACATCATTAAAGTGGTATAGTCAAAGCTATCAAGTCTTGTTTTGCAAAATTTACTATTAAGAATAGTTCAGATTACAATTGAAAATAAAAATTTCTTATATTCTTCTATTTTTAAAACTTATGATTTATAATCAACCAAACAATGCAACATGCAAAGAATAAAAGCCTGCGAAATAATGTAAGGTGTAAAACCAATCATAAGGGAGTAAAGCCTGTAGGATGTTTGAAAATCCTGATATTAGTTGTATAGACACAGAGATACACTATTATGAATAAAACACGCTCTTTTACTTTCATTGGGATAACTCAAATATTGGCCAATATATCCGGTCTAAAGTCACCTCGAAGTTCAAAAATTTTATATTAAGTATATAGAGGCTARGGAAAGTATTGGTCCGATTCAAACCACTTTTCACACACAGACATATCATTATAACACCAATATACCAATCATTATTCCTTAATTTCAGTTATATATATCACACATAGAGCGACATTTTCGATTCGGAACCTAAGAGCTTGAACAATTTTTATTGGATTTAAAAAATTTTTGGTCATAATTTCCACATATACTTAAGATATTATTCGTGTAAAGTATTAATCCGTTATATTGATTGTTTCTTGATTTTGGTACTGGAAACTRAAGAAATCAAGTGGAATTTAAAATTTTGCGATATGAGATGTAGGCGTGGTTGATGTCCAATTTCATCAATTTTTAYAATGTGATATAAGAATACAAACGAAATGCTACGTACAAAATTTTGACGAAATCAATTGGTCAGGTCCTGAGATATGAAATTTCATCAAGAAGTGGGCGGTGGGCACAACAGCTCCTATAAAGCTATCTCATCCCATCTCGGTGGTAAAATTTAGCGCTTGATTTATCACGCATTTGATAGTCTTTAACAGTGCCATTATAGTAAAGCGGGGTTATCCTCCGATTTAATCTATTTTCACCCCGTCGGTAGATGTTCTTAAAAGATTTGTACACAGCAAATTTGGATGTTACCTTAAGTGGTTTAGGAGATATATACAACAAACTTTGTTTGATGTCTCAAGCCACAACCGGCAGATTATGAGAAAAGATTTTGATTTGCATCCGTATTAAATTGTTCTCACTAAATTGACAGTTTGCTGTGCTTTTTGGTCTAGTGTAATCATGGGTCCGCGCTTCTTTCGAAATGGAGCTGATGACACCGGTACTGTAAATGGAGAGCGATATAGATCGATTATAACCAATTTCTTATGGCTGTAATTGGAAGAGAACTATTGCGAGAAAGATTTGAAGATTCGATTATTTCAAGAACATTGAATGGCTTCCAAGAAGTTRTGATTTAACACCACTATTAAAATCGAGTGAAATCTTGCCCGTTTTCTCATGTAACCAATATCAGGGTTTTTAYTATCCGGCGTATAGTGGTGTGAAATTAAGGTGTGAGGTTAAGGTATCTCAGGTAAACTTTGAAAACATCTTTTCCTGTAATTATAACTGGTGATGGCAAAAATAATTAATAGTYCCCACAACAACTTGTGGGGTCATTGGTCTTTAGCAATAAACCAGACTCTCCTTAAGCTTTAGAAGTCAATACAACAACGTGCTACTCATGACGTACKTCTTGATTGAGTGACAAATGTACTCGAAAATTGGGTTACCGAATTCGTTTGTGCAAAGGAAGTCGTATTGGCCATTTTAATAATGTTATACTCAGAACTTAATTGTATTGATTGCACTACACTGTAAATAAAAAAAATTAAATCTCCTCAACAATTACTTTTTTTTGTTGTTTTTTTTTTTTTTTTTTAAGAAATCATATCACTCTTATAGGAAACCCTATGATATACCTATGTACAGGTTCTTGCCAAAATATTATACCTGTATTAAAAGTTTTTGCAAAAGAATTCGACATTAATTATTGGTCGAAATCGTAAATGAATAGCAATCAAATTCGGAATCTTATGAATTTATATTGAAGGTCATTAATATGTTTTAATCGCTTCATCGAATMTTATAATAAAATCTGCGTTAAATGAGAACTATGCTAAACTCAACCAAAGTCTAAATTTAATATATTGAGTTTAAGTGGAAAACGTTTACCAGAAAATCGAAATTCTTTAATTAGGAATAGGAAGTTTAGACCAAGTTCTACTCCAATTCCATTAATATTCAGTGATAAGTCATATAATTTTCAAGAAAACTTGCCGACTTAATAAATGGACGGGACGGRCTGATTTCTCTAGCTTTTGACATTGACCAGGTATATTTAAGAATATATTTTCAAGCAATTTATAAATTCATGCACTGACCGATACATTGAGTTTAGGGTCTTTTAGTATAAAGAAATCATTGAAATCATACATACATCTTGTACATATATTGACCGATTTCTGMGGTTTAAATCCAACCGGAAGTTTGAAATGTTCTATTATGAATAACATATGAGAAATAGGGGACTATTATATATTCTTGCCATCACCAGTTATAATTACAGAAAAAGATGTTTTCAAAGTTTTCCTAAGGTACCTTAACCTCACATACCATCACCACTACACGCCGGATAATGTATTCGTTTTATAAACGAAAAACCCTGATATTGGTTACATGAGGAAAAGGGCAAGATTTCACTCGATTTTATTAGTAAACCACGCTCACTTGATTTAATTAACGTAACTCGCATATTGGCCAATATTCGCAGGAAAAAGTTTGACGGAAATTCGCATGTTTTTATATTTGGTATATATGGGAGGGTTTATAATTCCCATAATCTGATTCAACCCATTTTTTATTATTATGAGATAAGGATTTTCTCTGAGTTTATATACATACTGACCTATATTTTCGAAAAAATGAGCATGTGAAAAAAATGAATAAAAAAAACCTGTGGACTAGGTACACTTGTGCAAAGTTTTACCCTGATACATTCATTGGTGCATAGTTTGGGTTCTGGGAAGTGAAAGATTCAGACAAAATTTAAAATTGTGTTATATGAGAAATAGGTATGGAGCTAGTCCGGAATTTCTGTTGATCATTTAAATATGTATATATAACCCTTTTAGGTGATACAAACAACGGTTAGAGGAAGAAACCTATGATATTCTGTARCAACATGTGGCAAAAGTATAACAAACACACACATGCGCTCTACTGGAAAGTGTTCATAGTTGCACTCTTAGCCGTGTACCACCTTTTATGATATCAACCAAAGACCACTATTTTCGGGTTCTCTACARCGGTAAAGTAGCGTGAGGAAACATATGATTTTCACAGTTATTGGTATGTGGATGTGTTAGTCTTCACTTTAGCCCAATTGACTTAACATTCAGTTGCGCTGCGCACGTGATGAGAATGTTGAATGGGAAAATACTTTTACTTTGCTGCCGTACCTTATGCATAAAGCAAATCTGTTGCAGATTAAGCTTAAGCAGCATTTATTGATTTCCAAATTCGTTGGATGTCGCATATCCATAAGTATGTGAAGGTGAAATAACGAGCATTTGAGGTAAAAATGTGTATACAAATTGTGTTCCGGAGTGGATTGTTCGTAACGCATTAAGTTTATCCAAATATATATATATATATATATATTACATTATTTATTATGTGATCATTTATTTATAAGTTTCACAACTCGGATTCATTCAAGTAGCTGGAGTATACAAATATTCAGCTGCGCTCGAAAGCCAGGTTCCTTAATTATTTTTATTTGACGGACATCTCTCTTCCAAATAAATGTTGGCTTAAACAAAAAATGTTCATATATTGCTCTATATACGCAAGAATGTAACTATTATAAATACTGAAATTTGAATTTTATTCTTCCGTAGAAGGAATAAATTCATAGCCACATTTAAGCCGAACAGACAATTGCTATMAATGAGCAAATACACTGCTAGGCAAACAATCTTTTATGGCACCATTACCACAAAATAGTATCAAAGCAAGCCAAATTTTTTTCTATAATTAATACTKAGATGCTGACCGCAAAATAATAGCATTGCCGCAATCAAGTGAGTTGAATCCATGTGGCTAGCTGCACTRTTGGCCCGGGCAACCTTTATTCAACGTAGAATACTGTCAGCATTAACTTAAGCTAGTTGCMTCCCATTATGCGTGCAAAATATGTGGGTCTTTATGGTATTTTATTAGTCCCATTCATGACTTGTACGTGTGCAGATCCGTAGCTATGCTATGACGGGTTAGCAACGAAAATAAACAAAATGTTACTTGCTTTTGCTCAAATGCCATTTTGGCGGGTGCTTGTTCATTATTTCTTTTGGGCTAACGAATTTCTAATATGTAAGTATGTATTAAAAGCACCTAAAGAAGTACGAGTAAATATACACATTAAAGGCCACATTTATACATAAAACATATATTGTGTAACGAGAGAAAAAATAAAATTCTATTAACGAGTCAAACTAAATATTCGTTACTACAAAACACATACAGACCAACCGGCCACTATTGCATACTCAACAGACATCCTAAATATAATGTTATTCATTCTTCCTAGGAAATATTAAAAACAAGCTAATTTCCAAAATTTTGAAATCGCTTTAATRGTTTTTACCGAAAACTCGATTTAAAAATATTTTTAAAATAATTTTGTACTTATTATTTCTAAATAGAAAAGGTGTATATAATAATATTGTTAGAAATTCACTGTAATTCAATTGTAAAATAGATAATACTAATCAACACGACTTACGTCAGTCGATATACATATTTAATAGTCTTAAAAATGGTCTTAAATTTATATTTAAAGTCACCAGCACACTCTTTCAGTAATGATTTTGAGAATAGAATAGATTCAAAATCTTTTTCATCGTAATACATTATATATTATTCATATACTTACTATTACATAGTGCGTTAAAATTAATTATTCATTATGCGAAGAATTGAAATCGATTGAAAATCTAAATCGAAATCGAAAATTAACGGGCAAGTTTACCTGAAAGCCAGTCAGTATGGAATCAATTGTTCGATGAGTTACTACTGCTCTCACATATTATACTTATGGTTTCATTGCTCCAATATATAATTGACAATAATATAATAATATTTCGATAATTATACGAGCTAAAATTAAAAGAAACAAGAAAAAACGTTGACTTCGGCTGGACCGAAACTATTATATAATACCCTCGACTTTTATTTTTCTAATAGAAAAGAGTATAAAAAGACCTTTTTTTTTTTTTTGCATTTTCTGTTCCCTTATACCCTTAGAATTAATGTAGAAATCCACTTTATGGGGTTTTAAAGGACACAATGGGTGTAACAATTGGCGCAGCAGCAGCCATCGTTTTTGTACCAGGGATGATTGCAACTGTGAAGTTTCAAAGGAGCATCAGGGGGAATAGATCACGCGAGAACGAGCTGTATGACGATACCGAGGGTGTTTTGTTCGGTGCAGGCATAGTAGATTAGGGGTATGTCAATTTTTCAATTTTAACAATTTCTTCGGAGAAAACAAGAAAACAATGAATGCCAAAATTCATTTTACGACACCAAATAATWAACCAAAYAAAATTCTCTTTTATGGTGACTTACGTAAATATAGGAAAAGGATTTCCCTGGATGTTGCACGGCAAATGGACATCACTWCCACGTTCCACATGTATTTCCATTACTGGCTTCTGAGTGGTGCGAGGTGCAAGATTTTTGCTCAGCTCTGCAAAACACACCAAAAAATACTCAAAATATATTTAACTCTTTTCCATGTTGAAATTATATGCAAATTGTGCTCAAATACAAAAGAAGCATATAAATACCAATTAAAGGGTTTGATATTATTGAATCGAAGTAATTTTGAATGAAGCTCCCAATTTTGTCAGCCATAGAATAAATATATGGTACTTTTAAATATTATATATGTATGAARATATATTTAGCTTTTGGTAGTCGGTTAGACACATTATTTCATTCGTGTAACTTCATACCTTTCACCTGCAACATTATAGCATCACTGCGCTGCTTTTCTCCATTCAGTGTGTTTGTGACCAGGCAAGAGAACTTCACCAAGCTGTCCTCTGTGCGCACCGAGCGTATATAGAGGTCTCCATATGACGAAAGTACCACATAACGTCCAGCTGCATCAAAAGATTAATCAGAAGGTTATTGCTTAGATAAACTTGTTATTTTCAGTGTTGTTATGATATAAGCAAAACATAGAAACATATGTGTAAGGGAAAGAAGACTATACTCGTCAAGTACTAAACAAAAACTAATAAGGACAAGTAAATAAATAACATGTTCGGCCTTTTCAAGGCTTATTGTCAAATTCCTATTTATACGTTAGTATATACAGCATTCCATTTCCGTTAAATTTACGTCAAACAAACGGAAATAATATCTGGGTCCAGAATCGAAGAATACCATGAATGCGTACGCAMACTCGTGGCCACGCAAAGCTTTCCACTATACTTTCTTAAATTTTTTTCGGACTTTTTCGTTCGTTCGGGATTTTCCTCAATTTTACTAAAGAAAGTAAATTAAAAACAAACAAGGGAGGGCTAAGTTCGGGTGTCACCGAACATTTTATACTCTCGCATTACAAGTTTCATCAAGATATCTCAATTTTTACTCAAGTTACAGCTTGCACGGACAGATAAACAGACATCACTTTGGTATATGTAACCATATATCTGACGATATATACCGTCATTAGCAACTTTATTGCGAGAGTAGAAAAATGATGCGCTCTAAATTACATGAAAATATCTRAGAGATTTACCGCTACTTTCGGTGAAAAATTAGGTTAGGTTAGGCACTGAGTTCTTCRTGTTCGATATCAGGGACCTTGAAAAGTTATAGTCCGATCACGACAATTTTTCCACAAGGAATACCTCAGCTCTTTGTGTAAAGTTTTATTYCGCTATCATCATTGGTTCCTAATGTGATGAGAAGGCATCAGATGGAATTCAAAATAGCGTTATATTGGAAGAAGGCGTGGTTGTGAATCGATTTCACCCATATTTCGTAGTTCCTGAGATATGGTTTTTGGTTCATAAGTGGGCGACGCCACGCTCATTTTCAATTTTTAGAAAAGCCTGGGTGCAGCTTCCTTCTGCCATTCCTTCCGCAAAATTTAGTGTTTCTGACKTTTTTTGTTAGTCGATTAACGTACTTTTAGTGATTTTAAACATAACCTTTGTATGGGAGGTGGGCGTGGTTATTATCCGATTTCTTCCGTTTTTGAAGTGTATATGGAAATTCCTGAAGAAAACGACTCTATAGAGTTTGGTTGACATAGCTATAGTAGTTTCCGAGATATGTACAAAAAACTTAGTGGGAGCGGGGACACGCCTACTTTTCCAAAAAAATTGCGTCCGAATATGCCCCTCCCTATTTCGATCCTTTGTGCCAAATTTCACTTTACTATCTTTATTTATGGCTTAGTTATGACACTTTATAGGTTTTCGGTTTTCGCCATTTTATGGGCGTGCCAGGGGACCGATTTTGCCCATCTTCGAACTTAACCTTCTTATGGAGCCAGGAAATAAGTGTACCAATTTTCATCATGATATCTCAATTTTTACTCAAGTTACAGCTTGCACAGACGGACGGATCGACGGACAGACGGACGGACGGACAGACAGTCATCCGGATTTCAACTCTACTCGTCACCCTGATCACTTTGGTATACCATATATCTGGCAAACAAAAGTTGTGTGAAAAAAACTATAATACCCTCCTGAGCAACTTTGTTGCGAGAGTATAAAAAATTAAAATATCAGTTTTTCATCGCATGACTCATACACTTCGCGCTCATTTTCTATAACTCACGAMCTTCCAAATGATTTTATCTTTAGCTGAATGTGTTTTRTTTTAAATTTTCTTAATTCTAAATAAAAAATTTCAATACMTCAAAAAGTACCGTTATAAAGTGTATGCCAAATATGCACAGCACTTGAAAATTTTAAGTGGCAAGGTGTTTGGTTGTATTGAGTTAAAGCATATTTTGTGCGTCCACCGTGTTGAATATTTTCGGTTCATATAGTCTGGCCGTAGTTGAAAATGTGACATCTAGAAATGGCGAAGCCGATTCCCCAATCGATGACGATGGAATAGATTTTCCATGCCCGACTATGATAAGGGTCGAATAGCAATTACCCACCTGAAGAACAAGAGAGCGGCAGGTGTCAATAGATTACCGGCCGAGCTATTCAAATACTACAAGCTGCATGTATTAGCTTCTTTGCAACATTTCGTCGGACTAAAGCATGCCCGACGATTGTCGGACAAGAGCAAATATCTCCTTTCATCAAACAAAAAGTCATCGCATTCGCTACTTGGCTAGCTCGTCACTGTTGTCAGTCACAACTTTGAACTTGTAGATAATTTCGTCTATCTTGGAATTAGCATCAACACCAACAACAATATTAGCCTTAAATTTCAACGCAGAATCACTCTTGTCAGGAGGTGCTACTTTAGACTGAGTAAGTAATTGAAAAGTAAAGTGCTCTCTGAACGAACAAAGACCAAACTCTATAAGTCAATCATTATTCCCGCCCTGCTATATAATGCGAAGGCATGTATAATGACACCATCTGATGMGTTGGATTAGGTGCGTTCGMGAAAAAGGTTTTGMGGAAGATGTATTGTTTTTTTAAGAATAAGGCATTTTTAAATGTTAGTCAGTATCGACGGGAAAGCATCGAAATATTTGTGTAATAAACATTGTCACCTACTTTTTAATGATGACATTGGTTTTGTCATCTACTATTTACTTACTGCAATGATTTTCACATTGAAATTGTTACCATTCACACTGWCCTTCAATTGGGGAAAATTAATACTGATTACCCAAAGTAATATGCGATTTAAGATAAATCGTTTAAACTAAAATCCACTCCAATGGATTTTATTATTTAATCATTTCAAAGAATGCACGTTTATATCGTAGAGCAGCATCGGTAGGTGAAACCAGGATATTACCAGCAAAGCATAATAAATGCAGACCAGACATCAAGCCAGGGGACTGACAATATATACAAATGCAAGCGATTCTCGGCATGTGTGTCGAAGTGCGCATATATATGTGAGTGTATTAAAGAGTATGCACCTACGCATTTTCATATACATGGAAAAGACATTTCCCAATAAATGTCAACTGCAATGCAATTCCGCCTCACTACACCAAAAAACAGGGGCAATGTAATGAGCACCAATTCATCCCATAGGCACCAAGAGTCATCACTGCAACATACTTACGTATAAAATCGACGTACCAGTAAGAACTCTGAATCGACAAGTCTTTAACAACAAGAGTAAAAAGGCAAAATAGTATGGCTGTATTCGACTAGGCACAGTGAATAACCGAAAGTTTACAAAAAAGTTAAAAGTTATTACAAAAAGAAAAGCTAAAGGTGTGGGTGTGTTGCAGTTCATCCGGAAGGGTTTACATTTTGCACAGTGGATGAACAAGCGAACAGCGCTGTGCATTGTGCAAGTTTGACACCGAAATGTGGTAAACATGCAATTTATTATTTAAATATATTAATTAATAATAATGTATTGTATATTAGTTTTATGTACCAAAAATTATTGAAGTTAAAAGTTGCGGGGTTATCATACGATTTCGGCGACTTCACGAAGTTGTAAGAGGTGTCGAAAAAATTTGTCGTTTGTATATTCGGTTGATATTGCTTGAACTGTTCTGGAAATATATAAGGTACGTTGGACCTATTAATGGATGCGGCAAAGATTACTTTTTACATATTCTCACACCACAGATGCATTTCCCCAATACGATTTAGTGTACCAATTTATCTAATTTTTTGTGTCTTAATTTGKGGTTTAGTTATGGCTTTTTGTAGGTTTTTGATAAATGGATCTACAATGCAGAACTTCTGATGACGCCATGGAGCAAGTGTACAAAGTTTCATCAAGATATCTTGCATTCTGCTGAAGTAACACCTTGCACGGACGGACAGACCGACATACAGACACTCGAATTTCAACTTGCAACAACTTTGTAGCAACATGTTGTACGAGTATAAAAATTAATTTGTATTGAAATCAAAGATGTCTCTGATTTTCTCCAATTCAAACATTGACGACTCAGAAATGGAGCTGTTATCAACAGCTCAAGAATGGAAGTCGAAAGAATTATTCTTATATAAAATTAATTCAAATCATTCTAATTGAATATTCCTACAGTATTATAATAGCGAGTCCGAAGTTGCCCRAATTAGCATTAGCAGCTGGAGTGTATCTTTTATTTTTTCTCCTTTCGACTTCCGATTCCCATAAACAGTTTCATGGCAATCGAATGTTCACACCACAATGGCGTTGYTATCTTTTTGAGATCATATGATCAACGATTTAAATTATTTCATGCAAATGTTTTACGTTTTATA